TTGTGTGTGTGTGTGTGTGTGTGTGTGTGTGTGTGTGTGTGTGTGTATGTGCACAGTTGGCCTGAAATATCCAAAGGTACATGAAATGTTCTGTTTGAAACACTCAGAACATTGACAATAAGTTGTTTCAAATATTATTATGGATTTCTGATTTTTAGTTATTCCAAGTGTTATAATCAATCATTCATTATTCTTTTTGATGATCTGATTATCCCACAATTGGTTATAAGGAGTTGCTTCGAGCTGACCTACTTTAGAGACTTTCTCCTAGATTTTCCCGTGCACCAGACCTGGTGCCACTTCTGCAAAGAATCATGACTGCTCTGGGCCGGGGATGATGTCTGGAAGACAACCTGGGTGCAGGGTGTGCTGCTTCCACTGGGGATTGATGCTTAGGCCCTTTTGGAGATTAGAAGAACAAGAAAAAGCAGAAGGATTTTTTTCTTAAAACACAGACATGTTGATTTTTAAGATCCATGTGCCAGGCATGGTGGCGCATGCATGTAATCCCAGCATACAGGAGGCTGAGGCAGGAGGATCACTGAAAGTTTGAGGTCAGCCTGGGCTACATAGTGAACTCAAAACCAGCCTGAACTATGCAGCTAGACCCTGTCTCAACAAAACAAACAAAACCACAAAACACTGCAGAGAACCTAGATAGCCACAATTATCTTAAGGGAGGAGATCAGCACTCAGGAGTCAAGCCAGTGGGGTGATGGCCTGGCGTTAAACAACTGATAAATGAAACAAAATAGGGAGTCCAGAAAAATGCATACATGGGTTTGATTTAAAACTGACCAGCTGGCAAGTTAATTCACTGTAAGAAAGGAAAGCTCTTTAAAAAATATTTCTGGAACAACTACCTAACTGTATAGAAAAGTATGATCCTGACACACATATGAATTTTTAAGTCTTGAGTTCAAATTGATATTTGCTAGTAAAAGCTAATATTACGCAGTTTTTACTTAATTACTTTGAACTGGTATTTGTGTATCTCCTCTCTCATACTGAAAAGCTTGGTTCCTAAGATAATTAAAATAATTATTTCCTTATAGATCCTTTTGCTGTTAGACTGTGTACTTCTAAGGGGGTACAACTGGAATGTTGCTTTCTTTTTTAAATTTTTTGACACAGGGTCTTACTCTGCTATTCAGGCTGGGCTTAAACTCATAGTAATCCTCCTGTCTCAGCCTTCTGAGTGTTGGGATTATAGGTATGAGCCACCACACCTGGCTGGAATGCTGCTTTCAAAAGTCATTTGAAATAATTTTCTCTATCTAGTTATATTACCAATTACCTGTGTGGCTGGGCTTAGTGGTTTTTGTTTATTTTTTAATTTTCAGGCTCAAATTTTCTATCTTAATTTTTGAATATGTGAAGCATTAAAATGGTTCAAAAGTGAAAACAATAAAATGAGGTGTGCTCAGAGGATCCTGTTTTACCTCTTTCCATTCCAGCTTGCATCCCATTTAGGTGGGCATTGTTAAGTTTTTTACTTATCTAAAAATGTTTCTTTTTGAAAAAATAAGCACATAAATATATATTCTTTATTTTATCTATTGCTTTTACATTAAGTATATAAGTATATAGATTCAGTCAAGGCAGTATACAGGAAAATTTCTCTCTCTCTCTCTCTTTTTTTACAGCTATACAGTGCTCCACAGCACCACTGTTGTGGATGTCTTGGATTTAATCAGACTCTTCAGAAGTGCATGCATGACCGGGTCTGGTGGTGCACACCTGTAATCTTAGCACTCCGGAGGTTGAGGCAGGTGGATTGCTGTGAGTTTAAAGCCAGCATGGACCACATAGTGAGTTCAAGGTTACTCAGAGGGAGACCCTGTCTCAAAAAAAAAAAAAGTGCATGGATGTAGGATAGCCAATCAAATCCTGCTGGACAACCACATAGGCTCTCTCTGGTATTTGGTAGAACTCATTTTCTAGGGCAACTGCAACAAGTTCCCACATACCATGTGGTTAACACAATAGAAATGTATTTTCTCAACTGGAATTCAGGTGTTGGCAGGCTTAGATTCCCTCTGGAAGGCTCCTGGGGAATCCTTTCTGGCCTCTTCTAGTTTCTGATGTCTTGAGGGGTCCCATGGCTTATGGCTGCAGTGTAGTCTTCTCTTTTGTTTCTGAGTTTTGTCCTCTCAGTTTCTTCTAAGGTCACTTGCCATTTAAGTCCCACCCAGATACAGTAATCAAGGATGATCTTATCTTGAGATTCTTAACTTAATTACATCCACAAAGACTTTTTTCTCTCCTCCAAATGAAGTCTCATTTTCTGGGGATTACAACATGGATTTATCCCCAGGCTAAAGGGAAACTGCACCACCCACTACATTGACTATTACAAAAATTGCTGGAAATAATAACCTTCCACATGTGCTTTTGTTTCTGTGGAGATACCAAATATCTTCAGAGTAGATTCTTAGAATTTCTAAACCAAAGGGCAAATAACATGCATTGTTACCGAATTTCCCAGTGTAAGAGTTGTGTCGTTTTATACTCCTACCAGTTATATTTTTCTATAGCTTTGCCACCTGAGTGTATTGTCAAATTTTATGTGGGCAAAAACAAACAAAAAACAAAAATAAAAAACGTTGTGTAGAGTATTTTTTTTTCTAATTCAAGTGGTATTTCAGGGTAATTTTAAGTTGCATTACAAGTTTTAAACTCTTGAGTTCATTATCCTTATTGATTGATTAAAGTGGGATTCAGTAGCACTTAAGTCTGCAAAATACTTGACACTAACACGCTAGGGATAAAGGAATTACAGAGCAGTGGGTGTCCTCAAGGAGTTCACAGCTCAGCAGGAACGGTTTTTGAGAAAAAAATAAACAAAAAGAGAACAGCATGCAAAATACATGTGGATGAAAAAATATTAAAATAATATACATTTCTTTCTTTTTAAAGAGATTTGGAGTCCTACATGTTCATCAGTAAGTATGGTGGGTGAGATGAATCTACACACTTGGGCGCATGTAGATTTCATACTGTCACTTCTTCACAGTGTCACCTGCTCACTGTGGACTTGTTTTACTTCTTCATTTGTCTACTGCTTCAGGCTCCTGGAGTAGATTGGAAGCTTCGGCGGTAGAGGGTTGCACTTTTTATCCCTAAGGCTTAGAATCATGCCTTCATATGCCAGGTACTCAATGAATGTTTGATGATAATCAGAGCTTACTTTGTGTTAGAAAAATTGGATACTCTAGGACAGTGGTTGTGAACCTATGGCACATGTGCCACAAGAGGCTGTTATTGTTGAAAGCTCTAAAAGATTCACCATCACTGTTCTAGGATAAATACCTTTCCTTTTTTCAGTCAAAGTAAGGAAAGATATCTTTTTCCAAGAGAGTGGGGCAGTGAACATTGTGATATGCTATCTGTAATTAGGTACAGGCTAAACTTCTCTGAAAGACTCTTGTCTTGACTTAAGAGAGAACATTATTTCTGTCCCATGCAGCACTTTTGGAGAGTGTGCGGTCATCTATATCTAGAAGGGCAACTCTACCATTGTCCTGAACATAAAGATTCCACCTCTGGATCTGTGATTTTCATCCATGTTGATTTTATTGTAGTCTGTTCCTTTTTATTACAGAGTAATAGCCTTTGTATGAATGTGTTTCAGTTCTATCAATGCTGTTTGGACAACTCTAAACATAGAGAGAACCTCCAACAATTATGAAGATTTTTGCGTACCTAATTAAAATATGTAGGCCTATTTTAGTTTTTTATTCCATTTTATTTAATGAGATACATGAGTGCCTGTGGAAACCAAATCACTGTGCTCACTGAAGAGGATACAAGGTTCTGTAAATTCCCAGCTCTGCCCTTAAGGTACAGTTCAGCTAGAGGAGAAAAATTTATCCAAATTTGGGTAGAAACAATGTGATTCTCAACAGCCACTTTAACTACATGTACTTTCTGCAAAAGCTGAAATGTCCAAGCTTGGAGGATTCATATGCCATTAAATAATCCTACAGTTATCTTGGAAGAAATTTTCTGCCCATCTTCCATCTCCAGGTCTTGCCCCAGGGAATTCGCTCCTGGCCTTTAAAAGCATACCAGCCTGAGTTAGGTGCCTTAGGTTCTGTTTCTGTTTCTGCTACTGGATGGCTATGCAGTCTTGCACAACACAGGGGACATGCATTCCCTACAAAGCAAGAGGCACGATCTTGGGGCGTGCGACCTCTGTTCTCCAAGACAGGCTGCGTCCTACCACCCAGGGCATGGGCTGTGCTCCTCACAGGAGTTGGCACGCTCCCGAGAGAAATAGGAGCTCCGATTTCGGCAAGGTCAAAGGGGCTTCCTTTTGCTCTCTGATATAAATACAAAATCTAAACCTAAAAATAGTTTGCATTTAAAAAGCCTTGCAACTTTTCTGATAATGTCCTCTGGAGGTTCCCGATGCACTGGAGGGAAATAGGGAGGGTCCACAGGCGGGAGAGTAAAGTCAGGCTTCCGGATGGCAGCGTGACAGGAGGTCGCAACGCCTCTCCTAACGGAGAACTACATTTCCTAAAAGGCGTTGCGTCCCCGGCGTCCATCGTGCCGAAGACTCGCCAGTCTGATTGGACAGCCGTCTCGCAGAGCAACCCGGGACTTGTAGTTCAGGGTGCGCGTGAGGCGGGCTTCTTTGTGATTCGCCGCGCAGGCTCAGGGCTCCGGGCGCGTCCCCGCAGGGGGCTGAGGGGACGGGCGGGTGCCCCGGGAGGTGGGTCCGAGCCGCGCGCGTGCGTCGCGCCGGGGGCTGGGGGGCGGCCGGCACCTCCCGCTGGGCGGGGCGGTCGGTTCTGTGTCCGCCCCGCCTTCCTGGTCCCCGCCCCGCGCCGCGCGCGCCTCCTTCCCCGAGCCACAGCCGAGGCGGCGGCGGCGCGGCCAGAGGGGGGCGGCGAGGGCCCACGCGACACGCGCCGGTCGCGACCCGATGCGGTGACGACTCGAGCGGCGCAGGCCTGCAGCCCCGCCGGCGGGGCCGGGAACCCCGCGGCGGGATGTTCTCGCGACGGAGCCACGGGGACGTGAGGAAGTCGGCGCAGAAGGCGCTGGACCCCAGGAAGGACGCGGCGACGCGGCTGCGACACCTGCGGGCGCTGCTGGGTGAGCGCGGCGGGCGGGGACCCGGCCGGGCTCCGGGGACGGCGAGTCTCTGTCCGCACGCCGCGAGCTGCCACCCCCACCCCGTGTGAGGGACCCAGAGTGGCCCCGGTGCCCCTCACTGGAGCTGTCATCCCTCACCTCCTCTCCTTCACGTTTCGTTTTTACTTTTGAGAAGACTGCAGATACTGTGGTTCCAGGGGACCCAGCGCAGAAGTATCTGTCCCCCCCCCCCCCCCCGCCATTTCATCCTCTTTGGGGTCTGCCCGGCTCAGTTTCTTTGTGTCTTGGGGTGAAGGGGACTCCTCTGCCTGCCGAGAGGGAGCAGGGTAGCTTTCAGGTTCAGGAAGCTGCTTCTCCTTTATGACCAAGGTGACAGCCTTGGTCTTGTGCGGTCTTCAGTCTCGTGGCCCGTTTTAGGTGTGGGGGTTCTGCGTATCCGGTCTGGCTTGGGACGCGTTGACCCTGGTGAAGCTCACACCTTATGTGTGAAGTTCCTCAGTGGCTTTCTGTCTCCTGCTGCTTGCGATCTGCAGCTGGCTGTGTTTTACTTGCTTGTCTTATATTTTTTGTTTTGTTTAGTTTTTGGTACCGGGGATTGAACTCGGTATCTTTCGCTTGCGAGGCAGGCAGTGGAACCACTGAGCTAAATCCCGGGCCGTCTTACCTTTTTTTTGAAAAATCATTTTAGTCTTTATTTGTTTAGGATGCAGACACCTTTGCCTGTCTCCACATAGACTTGTCCTTGTGTATTTGGGGGCAGAGAAGAAGAGACATAAGTTTCTTCTAGATAGCTTTTAGTGTTAAAAGAATAAAATCACCTAGTTTTTAATGTCTGTGTCATTTGAGAAAATGTGACATAAAACTTAATTTTATATGTGAGAATTCTGAATAAAGATCTTGTTCATGAGATTGAAATTTGCTAAATATTTCTATTTATACTCTGTGAACTACCTCAAGGGTAAAACAAAAAACAAAACCCATAACCCAAAACCTGATTTTGCCAAGAGAAGTTTTTGACCATCTAAGGTTCGGGGAGATTCTGTACCTTGTTCAGTTTGGAATGAAATGTAAATTAGTTATTGTTATAGGGATTAGTTTTCAAGACTTTTGGAAACGAAATGTGATGTTTTTGATAAACTGAACTTTCCACTTCCTGTAGTAAAAGACCACATACAGGATTCTTAGTAGTGACTGATTAACACCTGCAGAGACATTTTTGATAAAGGAGACTGAAGCAGTCCTTTAAAGCATTTGATAGTTTGGAACTTTTTCTATGCTACAGATTGAAACCTTTGTCCTGCCCAAATCTATGAGATTAGATTGGCTATATATTACAAAGGCAGAATCTATTAAATCTAGATCAGGCTGGTTTCTTAGAGTTATATGGCTCTTTGTTATTCTGATAAAGTAGATACTTTTCAACTCTGTGTCATTATGGTTTTGGTCTAAGGTGTGTGCCTTAAGGAAGTTTCTTTTATCATTTCCTTGAACTTATTGTGACCTTAGTTTTGTAACGGGGAATTCTTTGACATTTTCTTAGGTGTACTTTTTGTTGTTGTCAATGCATCTATTTGTTGAATGGCCCAGTTTTCTTTGTATTACTGTGCTCTTAACCTGCAGAGAATACATTTTCATAAAATTTACTGGAGGGATTCTAGTTGTTCTCTTTAATGTAAACATTTGCTTTACAACTATGGTTTAAAGACTTCTTATCTATCTATCTATTTATTTATTTATTTTTTTCGAGACAGGTTCTCACTGTGTAGTTTAGGCTGGACTTAAACTCACTATGTTACCCAGGCTGGCCTCAAACTTGTGGTGATCCTCTTGCCTCAGCCTCCTGAGTGCTGAGATTAGACTTTAAAGAAAAGTAATCCATTCAAGCACTAGTTCCTACCATATCATATACCCTATTTGGTTGCCACTTTAAAAAAAAAGCTTACTTAGAAAACAAAAGGCTCCACTGGGTGTGATGCCACTTGCCTGTAATCCCAGCACTGGGAGACTGAGGCAGGAGGATCACTGTGACTTCAAGGACAGCCTGGGCTACATAGTGAGTTTAAGGCCAGGCTGGTCTACATAGTGACACCTGTAAAGTAGGAATTAAGCCCACATCAAGGAAACCAAAGGAAATGAATAATTACTATTGTATTTTTATGCTTTTCACATTTTTCTTTTTTTCTACTTATTTTATGTTCAAGTGATAGTAAAGATGCTATTTTTATGTACAGGTATGGTTCCACTGGCGGGGCAGCCTGTCTCTGCCACTTGTAGCTGTATACCTTGGGCTCTTACTTTGCTTCTCCCTGAGGCTTGGTTTTGGACTCTCATGTGGCTGTGGCAAGGTCTGCCGTGTAAGGAAGGTTTGCTGTGAGTGTCATGGGGACATGATTTCAGCTTTTCTCCCTCCACTTGTGAGATAGGACAAGTATTTTGGTAGGTAGTTTCCTTAACCTTCTTTCTTATTTTTGATAACGCTCATGCATTTAGTCTCTTCTTAAAAAGTAGTCTGTATTTAAGACAACTGGTTGAAGACACACAATTAGCTATGGAAAGTAGAGTTTCTTGGAATCATGATCTTGATGCTAATTCAGACTTGTGTAGGTACTGCGACCTGGCTGAATGAGGTACATTGGCCTGATTTTATTAACTTTATTTGCCTATAATCTCAGCACCTGGGAGACTGAGGCAAGAGGATCACCATAAGTTCGAGGCCAGCTTGGGCTAAATAGTGAGTTCAAGGCCTACCTGAACTGCATAGGGAGACCTTGCCTCAAAACAACAACAAAAATGTATTAACTTTATTTTGCAGAGGAGGCAGGCCTTACAAGGAGCCAAACCCTGTACTCAGTGACTTACATGCATTATGCTAATTATAGGAGGGACAAAGAGGCGATTTCCAGATCTCTTTGCCCTGTGGAAACCATCATTGGGCATGTAAATGAATAAACAAAACCAAAACAACCCAAACATCCTGTGTGTTACCATGTTGCTCCGGCAAGGCTCCATGTCTAATTGGAAGCTGAGTGCTTGGTGTGTCAGGTTAGATATTGGGTTATAGAATGATACTGACATAGTAAGAAGAGTCAGCATAAAATAATGATATATGTATGGTGGCTCTTATGTAATTAGATAGATGACTGCCTGGCAGACTCTATGATAGGATTTCAGAGGGGAAAAGAAATCATTTTTATTTGTTTCTTGTTTATTTATTTATTTTTAATTTTTATTTATTTTTTGGTACTGGGGATCGAACTCGGGACCTTGTGCTTGCGAGGCAGGTGGTGGAACTTAGCTAAATCCCTGGCCCTGTTTTTTGTTTTTTTTGAGAAAGGTCTTAGTCTGTAGCCCAGGCTGGCCTTGAACTCATGGTGATCCTCTTGCCTTGGGCTCTAAGTGCTGGGATTACAGATATGTGCCACCACACACCTGAAAAGAGATCATTATAATGATGTAAAAGCAGGGACATCTCCAAAGGAGGTTCACTCATGCTGATCCCTGAAGAATGGCAGGACAAGCTCTGTCTAACACAGATATCATGTAAGCCTTATCTAATTAAAAATTTTTCTAGTTACCACATGTCAAAAGTGAAAAGAAACAGGTGAAACTCATTTTAATAATGCATTTTATTTAACTTCATGTACAGTATCTTGTATGTTTTACATCAACTAGTAATCAATGTAAAATATTAATGACACTTTTACATTATTTATTCCTTATTATGTCTTTGAAATCCAGTATATATTGTATACTTAGAATGCATATCAGATCTCATTAGCCACATTTTCAGGGATCAGCAGCCAGATCTGGCTGGTGGCTGCACATGAGGTTCTTGGGGAGGATAAGGGGATGGGCCAAGGGAAGACATGAGAATTGGCAGTGACTCTTACTGCATCCTGTGGGGCTGGCGAGGGGTGGTGTTGGGCTTGTGTGCAGTGTCCTACTTAGACCAGGGGAGGAGGGGAAGAAAGGGGCAGCAGACTGATGGACACAGCAGAGCCAGGTTGGGATTGGGATCCAAGAGGGTTCTGTTTGCCTGAGTTGGCAGCTCAGCTCCTATCCTGGAACGAGAACTCATGTGGAGACTTCCACAGGTCATTGGGCAACACCTGAGAACTGCCTGTCTGCAGCAGAGTTGAGAAGAAAGAGGGAAAGGTGGGTTAGAGGCAGGGATTCTACGGCAGGATGGGAGCAGGAATGAAGTGGACAGATGATGGATCGCCCAAGGCCCTGCCCAGTGAGTAGGGAGGAGGTGGGTTATAGAGAACCAGCATCAGGGCTTAGTGATTCTCTGTGCACAGCTGTGAGAGCGAGGGTTGCTGGAGCTGGCCACAGAGTAATGGTCTTGGAAAAGAGATTTGGGATCAAAAGCTGTCAGAGTCAAGTCAAATCAAGGGACAGGAGTTCAGACTCCAAATTTGGAACCAGAGAGAAAAGAGTCCCTCACAAATGCTTTGTGTATTGACAGAGCAACAGAGAGAGACAGGTCTGGTTTTTCCTCTTGTGCATCTGCTGCTTTAAATAGGGACAAGTTCACTCACAATTTTAAATCTTACCCTTTACCTTTATTCTTACTATTAGTATTTTTTCATGTTTTGTTCTTCTCATTTTTAACTGCAAACATTTGTAGTATATATGTACCATAATTCAGCTTATCACTTCCTAGATGATTACATTGTTTCTCCTTTTCTTTCTTGTTTTTCATTCTTTCTCTGTACTTATCTTGGGAAGCAGCCTATCTATATTTTGCGATGTTTTCTTAGTGTAGGTTTCACCAAAGTCAAGTTGCTTATAATGTGATTTCCAGAGTATTCCCAAGTGCTGCCCTAGGGCCCCTGCCAGCCGCTAGGCTTTCGACAGACAGTAAACCCGTTTATCATTTTATAGTTGGCCATGGGTGTTTGGGATGATGGAAATGTCTTGGACACAGCCAGAAAGTTGGGAGGGGACCAGGCTAATGGTGCAGAAGGTGACTTTGGTGTTTACTTGTGGAGTTTGAG